ATTTTTTGTAGTCTTTCAGGTTTTCTACATAAAAGTATAACATTGTCTGCAAATAGTAAAAGTTTAACTTCTTTCTTGCTGTCTGGATACCTTTTATTTCTTTTTGTTGTCTGATTGTGGTGGCTAAGATTTCCAGTACTATGTTAAATAGTAATGGTGAGAGTGGACATCCTTGTCTTGTTTCTTTCTTTTTTTTTTTTTTTAAAGATTTTATTTATTTATTTAACAGACAGAGATCACAGGCAGGCAGAGAGGCAGGCAGAGAGATGAAGGGAAGCAGGCTCCCTGCTGAGCAGAGAGCCCGATGTGGGGCTCGATCCCAGGACCCTGGGATCATGACCTGAGCCGAAGGCAGAGGCTTTAACCCGCTGAGCCACCCAGGCGCCCCCTTGTCTTGTTTCTGACCATAGATAAAAACCTCTCAGTTTTTCCCCATTGAGGATGATACTAGCCGTGGGTTTTTCATATATGGCTTTATGATTTTGAGGTATGTTCCTTCTATACCTACTTTGTTGATGGTTTTTATCAAGAATGGATGCTGTATTTGTCAGATGCCTTTTTTCTGCATCTGTTGAGGGGATCATATGGTTCTTATCCTTTCTTTTATTAATGTGGTGTATCACATTGATGATTTGTGGATATTTACCCACCCCTGCAGCCCAGGAATAAATCCCACTTGGTCATGGTGAATAAGCCTTTTAAAGTACCTTTGGATTCAATTTGCTAGTATCTTGTTGAGAATTTTCATCCGTGTTCATCAGGGATATTGACCTGTAGTTGTCGTTTTTAGTGGGTACTCTGTCTGGTTTTGGGATTAAGGTAGTGCTGGTCTCATAAAATGAGTTTGAAAGTTTTCCTTCCGTTTCTATTTTTTGGAACACTTTCAGAAGAATAGGTATTAATTCTTCTTTAAATGCCTGGTAGAAATCCCCTGGGAAGCCATATGTCCCTGGACTCTTGTTTGTTGGGAGATTTTTTTTTTTTTTTTTTAAGATTTTTATTTGTTTGAGAGTGAGTGAGAGAGAGAAAGAGAGAGAGAGAGCATGAGTGAGGAGAAGGGCAGAAGGAGAGGGAGAGGCAGGCTCCCCACTGAGCAGGGAGCCCACTTTGGGGCTCGATCCCAGGACGCTGGGATCACAACTGAGCTGAAGGCAGACGCTTGACTGAGCCACCCAGGCGCCCCTTGTTGGGAGTTTTCTGATTACTGATTCAGTTTAGTTACTGGTTATAGATCTGTTCAAATTTTCTATTTCCTCTTATTTCAGTTTTGGTAGTTTGTATGTTTCTAGGAATTTGTCCATTTCTTCCAGATTGCCCAGTTCATTGGCATATAATTTTTCATAATATTCTCCTATAATTGTTTGTATTTCTGTGATGTTGCTTGTGATCTCTCCTCTTTCATTCAAGATTTTATTTGGGATCTTTCTCTTTTCTTATTGTTAAGTCTAAGTGGGGGCTTATCAATTTTATTAACTCTTCAAAGAACCAGTTTCCTTCATCTATTCTGCTGGTTTTTTTTATTTGTTTGTTTGCTTCAATATTGATTATTCTCTAATTTTATTATTTCCTTTCTTCTGCCGGCTTTAGGTTTTATTTGCTGTTCCTTTTGTAGCTCTCTCAAGTGTAAGGTTAGATTGTGTATTTGAGACTTTTCTTGCTTTTTGAGACAGGTCTGTATTGCAGTATATTTCCCTCTTAGGACCTCCCTTGCTTCATCCCAAAGGTTTTGGACTGTCATGTTTTCGTTTTCATTTGCTTCCATGTATTTTTTTTTTAAAGATTTCATTTATTTATTTGACAGAGAGAGACACAGCGAGAGAGGGAACACAATCAGGGGGAGTGGGAGAGAGAGAAGCAGGCTTCCCACCGAGCAGGGAGCCCAATGCAGCGCTCGATCCCAGGACCCTGGGTTCATGACCCGAGCCGAAGGCAGACGCTCAATGACCAAGCCACAGAGGCACCCCTGCTTCCATGTATTTTTTTAAAATATCTTCTTTAATTTCCTGGTTAATCCGTTCATTCTTTAGTAGGATGTTCTTTAACCTACATGTATTTGTGGTCTGTCCAAATTTTTTCTTGTGGTTGACTTCAAGTTTCATAACATTGTGGTCAGAAACGATGCATGGTATGATCTCAATCTTCTTGTACTGATTGAGGCCTGATTTATGACCCAGTGTGTGATCTGTCTTGGAGAATGTTCCATATGCACTTGAAAAGAATGTGTATTCTATTGCTCTAGGATGGAATGTTCTGAATGTATCTGTTAAGTCCCATCTGGTCCAGTGTGTCATTTGAATCATTCAAAGCCCTTGTTTCCTTGTTGATCTTCTGCTTAGATGATCTATCCATTGCCGTGAGTGGGGTGTTAAAATGTCTCTTACTATTACTTATTATTATCAATGAGTTTCTTTATGTTTGTTATTCACTGATTTATATTTGGGTGCTCCCAAGTGGGGGGCATAAATATTTATAGTTGTTAGATCTTCTTGTTGGATAGACATCTTTGTTGATACAGTGCCTTCCTTCAACTTTTGTTACAGTCTTTGGTTTAAACTTTAGTGTGTACTCTGGCTTTCTTTTGATGTCCATTAACATGGTAGATAGTTCTCTATCCCCTCACTTTCAATGTGCAAGTGTTTTTAGGTCTAAAATGAGTTTCTTCTCTCACTCATTCTCTCTCTCAAATAAGTAAATAAAATCATTAAAAAAAAAAAAGAAAAAGGCACCTGGGTGGCTCAGTTGGTTAAGCATCTGCCTTCAGTTCAGGTCATTATTCCAGGGTCTTAGGATCAAGTCCCACACCAGGCTCCCTGCTCAGCAGGGGCGTCTGCTTCTCCCTCTGCCCCTCCTCCCTGCTTGTGGTCTCTCACTCATTCACTGTCTCTCTCTTTTATATAAATAAATAAAATCTTTAAAAAATATATAAATAAATTAAATGAGTGTCTTATAGGTAGCATATGGATGGGTCTTATTTTTTTATTCATATCTACTAATCTGTCAAATAAATAAATCTTTAAAAAAAAAAAAGGTAGATCCTGTTTTCCCTAAAGCTGAAGCTTTGCAGCACTATGTGATGAGTAGACTTGGTGCCTGTAAGGGGTCCATGCTGGTCTTCTGGAGTGGGGCCTGCTGTGCTGATTCTCAGTCCAACTTGCCCTAGTGGAGATGTACTGGCAGGGCCGTGAGGCGGTGGGGGAGCGTGGTGTAAGCTGCTTTAGTCGCCACTGGGTGGCACCATGTTGCTCACTGAAGTGAGTCAGCGCTAATGGGCAGGAGAGAAAATCGCTTTGCCAGGCTCTCTCTCCTGGAGCAGGGAGTTCGCACCAGCACTCTCCAGGAAGTGCTTACAGCTGAGCAAACCATCACCCCTCTTGTGTCCCCCGCTTCTGTCAGATCCCTGCCTTCACCCTATTTGTGTCTGAGCTATCTGCATACTGGGCAGCACAGTACTCCTGTGTCTTATCTCAGGCACATGGCTCTGTTTCAGAACTCCAAATTTTAGGGATCCACATGGCACAGACCCACGCTCATCCTCTTGGGGGAAGGTCTCACCTCGCTGGCTGGTGCTGGTTTGTCCCAGAAAAGCAGTCACACACCACACGGTGGTTTATGGTAAAGTGCAGCTAAAAGCCGGCACCAAGGCTTGTTGCCCTCAGCCGGTGTCTCTGTTCCTATATTAGGGAACAGGGACACACATCGCTGACAGTACTTCTTCTGTCTCCGGAAAGGCCCTGCCACCATTCCCAGATGCACTCCAAAATGAGGCGTTCTTTCTACCTAGGTGACCCAGGGGATGCCCAGACCACTCTGCCCACTCCCAGGTCTCCACCCTCCTTTCCTACAGAGCAGCACTAAAACCCCCCCAGGCACAGCCCAGTCCATGGCACAGTCTTCTAAAACTTCAGACTTGGCGCTCTGCTGCTTATAAAAACTAGCAATAGTCATCCCCTCTTCTTTTCCCAATCACTGGTTTTGGGGAATAGTTTTTTTTGTGCAGTCCCCTGCCTGCTGCTTCTCTCGCTCTCTCACTCCTCTCCCCATGATCAGGGCTCCCTCCCCTCCTCAGGACCCCCAGCTTTTCTCTCTCCCAAATCAACTCTCCACAGCCCTTACCTTCTGTGAAGTGGCTGTTTTTCTACCTGTAGATGTGCATTTTGTGCTCTCAGTCCTCAGATCAATTTCTTGGGCACTCAGAATGATCTGATATTTTTCTAGCTGTATTTGAGGGATGAGGCAAGCTCAGGGTCCCCCTACTCCTCCACCATTTTAACTCCTAAATATATGCATTTATAAATATATATCTATACACACACACACCCCATATCTTCTTTATCCATTCATCTAGTTTTTAAAAGATTTTATTTATTTGAGATAGAGCAGAGAGAGAGTGAGAGAAAGTGAGTCAGGCTCCCCTCTGAGGGGGAGCCCAGTGCGCCTGGGATCATGACCTGAGCCATTTCACCGACTGAGCCACCCATGCGCCCCTATCCATTCATCTGTTGATGGACTCTTGGGTTTTAGAAAGTCATCTTTAAAACATTAGCTCTGTGCAAATTTGTGGTTAAGGAAGGAAAGCTGAGTTCTCCTTGACTAAAACAGAGAATGGAGCAGCTCTGTGTGGGGGTGAGACTCTGTGTTGGGCTGTCTGTCCGAATGAGCTGAGAGGGAGAGGCAGAGCTGTGGAAATGAAAGTATGTGTAACCATCTGTAGATGCAGCTGCTTCCAGTCTTCTCATCTGAAATATCTCCTTCAGATCTCAGAATCGAAATAGCCATCTACTGCTTTTATCAGCGTGGTTCAGGTATAGTTTCTAAAGTATGCTAAGTCTTAGTTGTTTTTAATCCTTTGTGATCTTTTCCTGATTAGCCTTTCCCCCTTTAAAACGTTCCTGAGGCCTATCTTTTTCCCCAGTTTTATTGAGATATCATTGACATCTCAGTTCTGTCTTAATCTGGCTTCTGGAAGCTACAGTTTACCTCTGATCCTTGTTCTTTTTCAGGGCTTGTAGTAGAATGCCAACAAGAACGATCACAGATTAAAAATAAAGAAATAGCTTTGCGTGTGTTGAGAGCTAGACTCTACCAGCAGATGATTGAGAAAGACAAGTGTCAGCAACAAAGTACTAGAAAACTGCAGGTAAGGCTTACACAGTGTGATACCTCTGTGGGGCACCTGGCTGGTTCAGTGAGAAGAGCGTGTGACTCTTGACTCTGGGGTTTGGAATTCGAGTCCCGTGTTGGGTGTAGAGATTTCTTAAAATAAAAATAGTAATACCTCTGCACAAAAGTCATCATTTTCTGTAGAAAATGTAGCATTTGTTCTTGATCAAATGGGACTATCTTATAGCATAGGGAAACGTACTTATTTGTAAATAAGCAGTAATTTCATGCATGTAGACTGGTTATAGCTAAATTTGGACGTGCCAGTTTGCAAATGAATCAATGAGATATGCATAAACTCGGGATCATCTCCCAGTTTTTCCCTCCAATGTTTGTGTCATGCCTGCTTTGAGAGGAGATTAGGTTAAAAGATAAAATAATTCCCTGGAAATTAAGGGACTTTGAGATTTTTTTATTTAAAAACCTATACTCTTTTACTAAAACCCTATGGGATCAAAAGTAAATGGCACTGTAAAAAACTGGTAATGATGATTGTTACTGATGGGATGTGGGGACAGGAGTAGAAGAGAGATTTATGTCCACTATATACTTTTATACTTCCTGAATTTTGTACTTCATAAATGTGTAGTATTATTTATTCAAATATGTAGGTACATGCTAAGCAAAATGAATAAATGTCACTGTTTTAAGTAAACAGATTATAGGATTTTAAATCCTAAAAAATGTAAAGTTGGTCTTTGAGAAAGGTTGTAAGAGAAGGTGGAATAACTGTGTGTTTGTGTTGTTTGCTGGTGGGTATGCTACACAAAATTTGGAAGACTTTGTGGCCTTTCAGGACAATGAATTATATAAACTTAATCATTAATTATTCTTTTAGGCAAGATGTCCTGCTCTTACACTTTGCCCTTCAGGCTCTCCTTACCCACATTCTAACTTCCAAGTAGCAAAAGTGATGGGATTAATGGAATATTAATCCTCTGATAATCCTAGATTGTTGTCCTGCATCAGTATATACATTTGCAGATAGGAATGCCCATTAACAAACCCTTGCTTCTTAGCACATAAGTGGTAACATAAACACTAAGAATTCCCCATGAGTGACATTTGAATTAATAAAAGACATTGGGATTCACTTGCTATTTGGCATTTTAGTACCAGATGTTTCACACAGTAATTTTAAAAATAAGTAATTCAAGATTGGCCTGGTGTAAGTTGTGTGTGTGTGTGTGTCCTCTTCAGAAATTTCTGGTTTCAAGCACCAGAAAAGACCTCCATGCCTCCCAATTAACTTATCCATCTGTGTGAAACTTTTTAGTAGGTATTTCTAATGCTTAGAGAAGTTTTTGCTTCAACTAATGTATATAGTAGCTTTTATAAGGAAGGCATTACGTCAGGTTCTCAACCCTGGTTCCGTTTATCCCCTGAAGAGCTTTGTATATCCCTCAGGCCCCAGCCCCCAAGAGTCTGACATAATTGATTTGGGTGGGAGCCTGGGCATTAATATGGTACTTTGGGATAGTAGTTTCTATACCTGGCTGGTTGCAGAATGGATGGCCTGAAGAATGTTCTAAAAATCCATAATCCCTGCTTTGTTATATCTGAGATTAGACTTTAAAGTCTTTAATTTTAAAAAATTCTCCTGATGGTCAGCCATATTTAATTTAGTGTCATATCATTTGCCTGAGGAGCAAAGAAAGTAAGTTACCGAAATATCTTTTTTTTTTTTTTTAATTTATTTATTTGACAGACAGAGATCACAAGTAGGCAGAGAGGCAGGCAGAGAGAGAGGAGGAAGCAGGCTCCCCGCCGAGCAGAGAGCCCCATGTGGGGCTCGATCCCAGGACCTGGGATCATGACCCGAGCTGAAGGCAGAGGCCTTAACCCACAGAGCCACCCAGGCGCCCCCGAAATATCTTTTTTTAGTCTTAAGAAGTGAAAGTGAGGGACGCCTCAGTGGGTCTGTTGGTTAAGCGTCTGCCTTTGGCTCAGGTCAGGATCCTAGGGTACCGGGATAGAGTCCCACATCAGGATCCTTGCTCAGCAGGGAGCCTGCTTTTCTCCCTCTCCTGCTCCCCCTGCTTGTGTGCATGCTCCCTCTCTCTGACAAATAAATAAATAAATCTTTTTTCTTTTTTTTTTTTAATGTGAAAGTGAGTGAGAGAAGGTGTGCTGGAGAGGTAGTAGAGATGAGGAGATTGGAATACAAATAACCATAGCATAAGGCAAACTGTAGTGTGCTCTGAAGAAGATTCCAAGTGTAAGGGGTTTCAAAGGAGCACATTAATCTATCTCAGGTGTTGCTAGCTGGAAAGGGGGATGATAGAGTGTGTGGGAAGGGCATCGCTTGAGATGATATTTTAGCTGAGTAAATAGGCATGCCCATAATTTTGATATGATATAGTAAGTGGCATGATAGTGGTTCACATAATTTTCAGAAATAATGTTGGGAAAGTTGGCTACATTGTGAAGTGCCTTGAATGCTGAGTTGAATTGTCTCTGCTTAGTAGACAGGAAGAAATCAAAGAAGAAAACTTATCAGAAAGCTGTTTTAGGCAGACTAAGCAGGGCAATACTTGTAAGCAGAGACTTGGAAGATTCATCAGGTGATTTTTACAGGAAGGAAGGTGAAAAATCACGAGCCCTTGAATGATAGAAATGAAAAGGGCAGATTATAACAGGAGACCCTTAAAATCAGCGGGAATGGGCAGGTAGAGAATATGATGAATTGAAAATGGTTTCTCCCCCAACGTCTGTGTCAAAGCTTGGCATGTAGTAAGTGCCTGTGAAATGTTACGTAAGTTGCGGGATGTCAGAGTTTCCCACTGGGAACCAAGGACATGTGGTGGTGCCATTTATAGAAGCCAGGGGGAAGAACTGATTGGGGTGCAAAGATAATTTCGTTTTAAATATTTGGAGTTTAAAGTACCGAAGAAATACTCACTCTTTTTCCTTATCTTTACAAAGCTATAGTCTTTAAGTTCTACCCATTCTTGTTCCTTGTCACTTTGTATATATGACCTAAAAAAACAAACTGGGTGGCTCAGTCAGTTAAGAATCTGCCTTCGACTCAAGTCATGATCCCTGGGTCCTGGGATCGAGCCCCGCATCGCCTCCCTGCTTAGCAAGATGTCTGTTTCTCCTTCTGTCTCTCTTCCTACCCAGGGCACTCTCGCTGTCTCTAATAAGAAATAAAATCTTTTAAAAAAACTGAAACTGTTATACTAGAAAAGGCATTTATAAGTATGTTTCCCATTGTAATAAAGGCAATTATAAAGTTAAAATATGAATTACTTTTTTGTTGTGGCACAGGTGGGAACAAGAGCCCAGTCAGAGAGAATTCGGACATATAATTTCACCCAGGATAGAGTAACTGACCACAGAATAGCATACGAAGTTCGTGATATTAAGGTAATATAACTTAATATGTTTTATGTACCTTTGCTTTTCAAAGAATGTGTACTCATATTCTAGAGAGTTCTATCTAAAATATTATCAAGTAACTTAAAATCATGAAGCCAGTTTAAGGTTATATCCCCAAATAGGCAAACATCCATATTAGTTTGTTGGTCAGAAATGGGGTCTTAGTGTCAGTTTGAAACAAGTCTCTTTGAACTCCAAATTCTTTGCTGTGCAATCACAGTGTATTAAGGTATATTCAGTATACATATATACACTGTATCAGATTCCTATTGCTGTGTTACAAATTACCACAAACTTTTTGGCTTAAAGTAATATTTCTTATCTTATGGTTAGCAGGCAGAGCAGAGTTCTCTGCCCTTGGGCCCTAAAGATCACTAGCAGGTTGCTTGCTAAGTGGCCCCTCCGTACGCTTTCTCTCACTTTGAACCTCTTGCAGGAATGGCTCAAACCTTTTTAAGGGCTCACCTGTTTAGGTCAGGCCCACCCTGGTAATAATGTTGAATGACTCAACATCAACTGATTAATATCACTAGAGTGATATTCTATCATATTCACAGCTTCTGCCTCCATGTAAGGGAGGGAATTCTGCAAGGTGTGTACACCAGGGGGCATCTTAGAGTTCTGCCTAGCACGATGAATTGTTCATGAGTTTCAGGAGTTATAATTATGCTGTTGGGAAAAGACCCTGTTAACATGGTTTGAACATTAACCTAACTAAATCCCATTTAGCCAGACCATTGGCATTAATACATTAATGATGAAGTACAGGAAAATTCCCCTTTTGTTTCCCCTGAAGGGGAAAATAAACTGGTTCTCATAAAGGACTATGTACAAAAGGCATGAGGTAGAAGGTTCTGATTTTTTTTTTCCTTGATGTCATGTGATACCTAGGGCTTCTTTCAGTTGATTCTGTCCCATTCTGTACTTAAAAGTAAAGTCCTAATTTTATAAGGGCAATGTCTGTGTTTTCAAAATGTTTAGAAATTTCTGTGTATTCTTAGCAGATTAAGACTGTCCCTGTCTTCTTAGCAATTTAAGACTGTCTCAAATAGGAAAATAATAGCCTTGTCAAAGAGGAGAAAATATTTGTTAACTTCCCTTTCCTCAGGAAACACACAGTAATAACCAAACATGTTTGGCCATATTGTTCAGATTACACCATATTCTTTCAGTTGTTTTTCTGGTAGTGGTGATGGTTTTCCCTGAGACGACTGCATTCTTATGACCAGTAATATTTTTTAGACTAGCCCTTAGGTCCTGAGTTAATATTCAGTCTTGAAACAGTGGCAGGTTAGGTGGCTTTTATAGTTATAAAATAGCTGACTTTGGCCTGCATGCTAACATATTATTACTAACTAAACTAACATGCCAGATTTAGAAATAATTAGGGAAATTATATTTGTGTGTTCTCATAATGACTAAGCAGCCCATTGGAAGGGGAAAAAAAATCTCATATTAGTGAAATGGAAAAGTTTGGTAATGTCATAAAAAAAAAAAGTAGTAAAACATTAAAATCTGTATGAAGGACAATAAAGAGACTTGTTGGAGTGAATAACTTTGGAACAGAATAGTTATAGATGAGGCAGGAAAAGGGATAAGGGCCTTAACCCCAGAGGCAACAGCCACAGGTCAGAGTGGAAGGAGTGGTGAGGGAAGAAAGTGGATGTCTGTGGGACTCCGCTCAGCTCAGCTGAGGTCTTAGAGCCTGAGGTCTCCCTACTCCATTTACATAGTTCGTGGTGAAGCTGCTCTGCTCTTACAGGATCATGATCCTGACTCAAGACAATAATTGGTTTGTTTGGGGAGGAAATCTGAAAGAGCCCCCACCAATGACTTAGTTCCTTCCAAGCATTTTTAAACTGGAGACAAAGAGGGCCATTCTCGGCTGAAACTGAAATATGTAAAATGGATAAGAGGTTAGAAGCCACATTTCCAAGCCGTGAGGAGAAGGCAGTATTCAGTAAGAGATGAAGCTGATATTGAAAGGATCAAAAATAGAACTGGATGGAAAGAATCTTGTTGATAACAGCCCTCACATTCATTTATTCCTGTGGCCAGCTTCATTCCCAGGGCGGTGGCAGTAGTCTTCCCATTTCTATCCTTGGGTTCTATTAGATCACCTCATATTCTTAGTGTGGGTTCTCGTATAGGTAATTTTATTTTTATTTTTACCCTGTAATCTATTGTTTTATGTTTCTATTCTGTTTCTTAAAGTCCTTGTGCAGATTCCATAGCATCAGCCTATCTCCTGCCCTGTATCCCTCCCTGAACTGAAAATCTCCCCTTGCCCTTTATGCTTGCACATTGTCTCTGTGCCTCACTTCATCCTCATTCTTTTGACTGAAACGCTCTGCTTGTCTCTATTTGGAGAGAAAAAAAAAACTATTCCATTTTTAAGATCTAATGCAAACTTGTTCTTCCTTCCTAAACTCTTCCCTGATGCTACCTTCTTAAAATTAACCTTACAGCCCTCACTTGCTTTTTTTTTTTTTTTTTAAGATTTTGTAATTTATTTGACAGAGAGAGAGATCACAAGTAGGCAGAGAGGCAGGCAGAGAGAGGGGGGGGAAGCAGGCTCCCCGCTGAGCAGAGAGCCCCATGTGGGGCTCCATCCCAGGACCCTGAGATCATGACCCGAGCTGAAGGCAGAGGCTTAACCCACTGAGCCACCCAGGCTTCCACTTGCTTCTTTTTTAATTTCTTGTGCTGGTTGTGGTGCCTAGCTCTGTCACTAGATTATGAGCTTCCCCAAGTCCTTCATCTTTGGTCTTTGTATCTCTGGCACTCTGATTATTCCAATCAAACTCTAAATGTGGTTTGATTGTCAGTTAAGAGTGATAATCCTTTTAACATAATTTCCAAATGATGAAATCACCTTGGCAACACCATGATAATTTGAGCTCTGGGCATGCTGATTTTATAAGCAATTCCCCATATTATGCTCAAAATGGTATAAATTTTAATTTTAAAACTTCATCATAGGGCTTTTTCTTTACTTTTAAAGTTTAGTTGAGGTTTTAATGTATGCTGGTGTTTCGTAGGATACAAAGATAGTAAGGCATCTTTTCCCCTACAGTTGAACTTGAAAGATGAATGTAACGTAAAATTCAACTGTAAGGGGGCACCTCAGTGGCTTAGCCCGTTAAGTGTCTACCTTCTGCTCAGGTCATGATCCCAGGGTTTTGGGATTGAGCCCCGAGTCGGGCTTCTTGCTCAGTGGGGAGTGTGCTTCGCCCTCTCCCTCTGCTGCTCCCCCTGCTTCTGTGCTCTCTCTTGCTCTCTCTCTGGCAAATGAATAAATAAAATCTTTTAAAAAATAGAATAAAATTCAAGCTTAAGACCGTTCAAAGAAAGACCAAATATATGTTTAGTTCACACGAGGGCGCCTGGGTGTCGCAGTCGGTTGTGCTCCTGGCTCTTGGTTTTGGTTTGGATCAGGATCCTAGGGTCCTGGGATGGAGCCTTGCATCAGGCTCCACACTGAGCACAGAGTCTGCTCAAGACTCTTTCTCCCTCTCACTCTGCCCCTCCTCCTTGCTTTCTCTCTAAAATAAATAAAATCTTTTTTTTTTTTTTTTTTAAGATTTTATTTATTTGGGCGCCTGGGTGGCTCAGTTGGTTAGGCGACTGCCTTCAGCTCAGGTCATGATCCTGGGGTCCCGGGATCGAGTCCCGTATCAGGCTCCCAGCTCCACGGGGAGTCTGCTTCTCCCTCTGACCTTCTCCTCGCTCATGCTCTCTCTCACTGTCTCTCTCTCTCTCAAATAAATAAATAAAATATTTAAAAAGATTTTATTTATTTATTTGACAGAGATCACAAGTAGGCAGAGAGGCAGAGAGAGAGAGAGAGAGGGAAGCAGGCTCCCAGCTGAGCAGAGAGCCCGATGCGGGGCTCAATCCCAGGACCCTGGAATCATGACCTGAGCTGAAGGCAGAGGCTTAACCCACTGAGCCATCCAGGTGCCCCAGTAAATAAAATCTTAAAAAAAAAAAAAAAAAAAAAAAGGTTCATGCCTACATCAAAATTTTAAATGTTCTGTGTTCCAGATGCTGACATGGAAATATTTCCATTAAGTCAATGTCTAGATTTTGAACATTTCTAAAATATGAGACTATGCTAATTCACTGTTCCCAACAACTGTTACTCAGAACTTCTGTGACACAGGAAAGGTACTCAAAGTTATTTTAGTGACTTGTAGAGATGAACTGTAGGGAAGACTACAGGGAAGTCTAACAACACTTTTCACCCAGTGGGCTTATTTGGGGTAAACATAAGAGCATTTATTTTTCTGAACTTTCTATTCAGAAAATTTCAAGTATATATGTTTAAAGACTGGTTCAGTATACACCCTACACGTAGATGCAGCCGTTGTTAACATTTGCCTTCTCTTCCTCTTCCATCTCCTGTGCTGTTGGTGAACCATTTGGGAGCAAGGTACACACTCAAAATGCTTGTCCCCTAAATATTTTGGCATATATCTTTTTTTGGTCACACAGGGCTTCTAGATTTTAAAACTGCCATATTTCCAATTTAAGAAGAAACACAACTAGTATAACCCACTTAGAGATTAAATAAAATCTAAATTTGAAGGTTGGGATGAGAAATGTAAACAGGAATGGTCCCAGGAATGGCGAGCAGAGATTAGCAGGGCTCAGGTGTGCGGGTTCAAGTGGCAGCAAGGTACCTGGGGCTTTGAGTGAGGCATTTCAGGTTTTTTTGCCCTTGGGAAATAATGTTTGAATGACAAGGGTGGAATTTTCAGGACAAGAGTGAAAAAGCCTTATCTTTTCTAGGGAACAAAAGGAGAAGGGATTCAGCAAACATATCATCCCAAAGATGGTTTGAGATCCTAGAACCCTGTTGTCAGGAACATCAAGCAAAGGAATTTTAAAGAGAGATTCAGATCTCCTTTGTTTTGTTGTCTCCAGAGTTGTTGAAAAAATCCAACTCCCAGAAGATTGATTTTTAAACAAAATGATAATGTAAACAAAGAAAGAGTAGAATTCTATTTACTCTTTTGGATTCACTTTTTATGAGAAGCCAGTATCACTGGGTATCCTCCCAAGTTAGCAAAGTTGCCCATTATGTCACAGAGCCATTTTAGTGATCTGTTGTTGCTATTAAATAGTGACTGTGGGGCACCGGGGTGGCTCAGGGGGTTAAGCCTCTGCCTTCGGCTCAGGTCATGATCTCAGGGTCCTGGGATCGAGCCCCACATCGGGGTCTCTGTTCGGCGGGGAGCCTGCTTCTCCCTTTCTCTCCCTGCCTGCCTCTGCCTACTTGTGATCTCTCTGTCAGATAAATAAATAAAATCCTAAAAAAAAAAAGTGACTGCAAAGAAACAAAGTAAATACACATTTAATTCTTTGTTTTGTTTCTCCTTTATTTTCTAGTAATCAGGTTTTTATAATAACTCTTTTACCAGGAATTTTTATGTGGGGAGAAGTGTCTGGATCAGCTAATTCAGAGACTCCTTCATTCAGCAGATGAAGAAGCCATTATTGAATTTTTGGACAAAAACCTTAAATCAGCAAAATAAGTGCAGATTTATTATTTTTTATTATATAAAGGAAATGGACCTATATCAAGAAGCAGCTGTTTATAAAGTACAGCTAAAATTACACAGGACATACAAATATATTTTTTAATGAATAAGTCACATTTCCTGACTGAAGAGCTTATAAAGTACAGTCCAACTCTTCAAGCAGAAAATAAGGATGCACTGTTGAAAAGAGAAATGAAATTTTGAAAATTATGTGATACAGGCTTATAAACTTTATAAACCCATATTTCAAGAAAAGTATTGTAAATCCATATTAAAATTAGGCTTTTAACTACTACTTTTAAACAAACAAACAAATACAAAAATTGTGAAGAATGGGAGTCACTAACAGCATCTCCAGGATATAGATTGTAGAGCTCTTGGAGAGTGGAACTAATTCTGTACTGTATAAACTACAAGCCAATATTTAAAGTGAACTCTCTGCTTGGCTTTTCTTTCTTGTTTTTCTTTGGCTTAACTTCGGAGCATCTACAGATGGAGTATAACGTGAGTAATTCCCTATGCCTGGTTCTGTGCGGTGATGTCCATAGAGCCCAGTCCTGACCTCACAGAGCTTTCAGTTGAGTGACAGAGCCAAAATAGAAGCCACCAACTCTAATACCAAGTGATGTGACGTATTTAGTACTTGTTCTCTGGAAGTTTCTTGAGTCAAAAAGAAAGGGGTTATTATTTTGGACGTTCTTCAGAAGAAAATTATGTGCCCAGGAAAGATTAGCTAAAATGGAATTCTAAGGCCAGTGGAATTAGGAGGTAAACACTGAAGTCATAGTTTTTTACCCCAATTCTTACTTTGAGAGCACCGGGAAGAAGTTTTTAAAATAATTTTTAAGAAACAGTGCAGGGACACCTGGGTGGCTCAGTTGGTTGGGCATTTGCCTTCGGCTCGGGTCATGATCCCAGCGTCCTGGGATCGAGTCCCACATCGGGCTCCTTGCTTGGCGGGGAGCCTGCTTCTCCCTCTGCCTCTGCCTGCCATTCTGTCTGTCTGTGCTCCCTCTCTCTCTGACAAATAAATAAAATCTTTAAAAAAAACAAAAAACAAAAAAAAAAACAGTGTAATGAACTGCTGGGTATTTACCCAGAGGATACAAAAATACAGATTCAAAAGGGTACATGCCCTCCAATGTTTATAGTAACATTATCAACAATAGCCAAACTATGGAAAGAGTTCAAAGAATTGATAAAGAAGATGTGGTAATAACTAGGATGGAATATCACTCATCCATCAGAAAGGATGAAATCCTGCCATTAGCAAGGACGTAGATGGAGCTAGAGTGTGTTATGCTAAGCGAAGTAAATCAGAGAAAGATAAATACCATGTGATCTCACTCACATGTGGAATTTAAGAAACAAAACAGATGAACATATGGGAGCAGGGGATAAGGAGTGGGAAGAGAGAGGGAAAAAAACCATAAGAGTCTCTTAACAAAAGAGAACATTCTGAGGGTTCATGGAGGGAGGTGGGTGAGGGATGCACATTAAGGAGGGCACTTCCTGATGAGCACTGGGTGCTGAATGTAAGTGATGAATCACTGAATTCTTCTCCCGAAACCACTATCACATGGTGTGTTAACTAGATTTAAATAAAAATTTGAAAAAGCAAAAGCAAAAAAAAGGAAATAGAGCCAAAAAAAAAACCCAAAAGAAGGAAGGAAATTGTTCAATGAACAGTATACACTCTAGAGTTCTACTATTACCATTTTGCTATAGTTGTATTTTTTTGCTCTCTGTGTATACACACACATACCTGTGGTGGTTATTGGACCATGTAAAAGTTAGTTGCAGACCTTGTAACACCACACCAAAATATTTCAGCATATCCTAAGAAAAAGGACATTCTCCTACAAAATCATAACTCTCATTATTATACTTAATTGTATAATAATACTAATTATATAATATGATCTATCACATATTAAAATTTCTTCAGTTATCCCCAAAATGTCTTTTTAGCGTTTTTGCTTGTTAGTTTTGTACAATCCAGGATCCAGTCAAGATTCACAGATTGTATCTGGTTGTATGTCTTTAGTGTTTGGATTAATCCCTCCACCTTTTTTCCACATGATGTTGACATTTTGAAGAGTCCAACAAAGTTGTTTTATAGAATGACCTACATTCACATTTGTCTAACTGCTTCCTCAAGGTATTGGTAACTTTTATTCATCCATTCAATGTACTGTAAAGTAATATTAAATATTTGGCAAGACTCCTTCCTGGGTAATGTGAAACACATAGTGTATCGTATCAGGAAGTTCCACTATTAGTAATGCTGAGTTTGGAAACTGTCAAATCACTCCATTAAAATGGTACATGTTCTTTATAATAATTAGTAGGTAATCTGTGGGGTAATACTTTGGCATTATATCAACATTTGATTCCTCATAGTGCTAGGCAGCTTCTCAGATGACCCCAGTGATCTCATTCTTGGCATTCATGCACCTGTGTAATCTGCTCCCCTTGAACAGGAGCTGGACTAGCTGACTATCTTCTAATACAATGTGATAGAAGGAGTAGGACTCTCACTTCGATTTTAGGTTATAAAAAGACTTGCCTCTGGCTCTGCCTCTCTTTCTGGCCACTCACACCATTGCTGGGTGGACTGGGGAGACCCCCAGGCCCTGAGACATCCATCCAACCTGTCTCTGAGTTGTCAGAGGAGGCTCTTGGTCTCATCACAAGAGCGAATTCAAGGACAGACCAGACACAACAGTTGAGCAGTGCAGCAAGTAAGAAAGTTTATTAAAATGAGTACACTCTCAAGATGCGAGAGCAGGTGAGCTCAGAGGAAGCTGGTGGAATATTTATTACTTGGGGAGGGGATTTGGGTGGTGGTGGGGCAGGTTTTCATGCCTTTCTCCCTTACTTGGTCAGGGTTTCTGGCCTTTGTCTTGGGCCTATCTGGTTTGATCCAGCTTCTTGTGGCTTTGTTTTGGAAAGCTACCAGGTTTCTAATTTCCCCCCCGCCCCCGCATCCCCTTCACCCCCACCAAGGCTAGCCTTGCCTCCCACTTTGCTGGCCTGCAGGCATCTTGTTAAAACTTAACTTCCTACTCTTAACAACACTGGTGGAAGCTAGATGATGTGAGCAGCTCTGTGGAACAGCCCACATTGTGTGACTGAACTGGAACCCTTGTTCTGACAGTTCTCCAGGAACTAAGATCAGTCAACTAGCACAGGTGTGAGCTTGCAAGCAGATCATTCAACCCTAGTGGTGGCTTGACACGATGGCGGTTCTGGTCAACAGCTTAACTGTAATTGCACAAGAGAGCCCTTGAGCCAGAGGCGCATCACTAGCCGCTCTGGATACCTGACTCTAAGAAATTGAGTAAATTAATTATTTTTGCTGCAAATTTGAGGGTAATTTGTTACACCAAATTGTATGTAATGAATGTACCCAGTGCCCTTTCATCTTATTGATTTAACATCAATTAATGACTCTTGCTTTGCCCAAATCAGCTTGAGTTTAAAAAATGGTGATGTTCTTGTTCTTTCTATGTTAATAGGTGACATTATTTAAAGAAAGCTTTCCTTTGTTTTCCCTCTCACTTTCTCTAAGTGGAGAGATAATTTAATCCTGTTTGGATCAATATCATTATTATTTCCCCAGGGGTAAGCATTGCCCTCTAAAGTAATCGATGTCTCTGGAGAATCTGATTTAATTTGAAAGAACATTCAATTAAATAGGGAGTTTTAGGGTAAACATTAGAAACTGATTTTTATTGTCAGGTGGTTTACGTCACAGAAACATCCTGGGGCACCTGGCTGGCTTAGTCAGAAGAACATGAGACTCTTGATCTAGGGGTCATGAGTTTCAGCCTCACATTGGGCATAGAGATGACTTTAAAAAAATTAACTTAAAAAAAATTATAAGAGAAACATTTATCCAAGGAAATATAAATTAAAACATTGCATGAATCAAGGCAAAATGAAGATAGTCTAATTTGCTATATGATGTCAAATGTGAAATCACATGTCATTTTTTAAAATTTTCAGAAAAAAAATCACTACTCTAAGCCTCAAAAAATGTCTGCAAAAAAAAAATTCATTAATTTAAGAAAGTGAAAAGTTGTAAGAGGGAAAGCAAGAGAAAGAGGCGTTAATTCGTTCTGTTCATTCGATAGTATTAATATTCTGCACACGGCAAGGAAGAGCAGACAAAAGGAAAAGCGCTTCCTCAGCCAAAGGGAGGCTATGCCTTTCCGGAAGGAAGTTCAGACCTTCGTATCACCACCAAGGTCTTTGCCCTTCCCTCGTTCTCCAGCTCTGGCTTTTCCTTAAAGCACACACTTTTTTGGAGGAAAAAAAAAAAAATCAAAACAAAAGTTGGAACTTAGAAACCCAGAAAAATCTTGGGTGGTGTTCTTTCTCAAACCTCTGTATATGTACAGGTCACTTGGGGATCTTACCATAATGCAGATTTTAATTCAGAAGATCTGGAACCTGTTGTTCTGTATTTCCACAATTCATTTCATTTCCACAAGCTCCCAGGTGATGGTGGTTACTTCTGACTCACAAATAACACTTGGAGTAGCAAAGATCTAGGATACCTATTATTCAATTGTTACACATATTTTATGTGTACTTTCAATTATTACACATACTATTTTTGTTCAATGAGTTTCAGTTAAACTTGTAATCCTACTTGATTCAGGTAGACCAATTTATCTCCCAAACTAGGAAGATAAAGTTGACATTTTTTAATATTTTTGTAATTTTTTAAAGATTTATTTATTTATTTATTTGACAGTGATCACAAGTAGGCAGAGGGCGAGGGCAGGGGGGCGGGGGAGGGCGGTGCAGAGCAGGCTCCCTGCCAAGCAGAGAGCCAATGCTGGGCTCAATCCCAGGATCCTGGGATCATGACCTGAGCTGAAGGCAGAGGCTTTAACCCACTGAGCCACCCAGGCGTCCCTGAAGTTGACATCTTTTAACTGTTAGTAGAAAAATGTTAGGAATCAACTTATAAGCCAGTGATAAATCAGGGTTCCTGTAAAAAATTTGAAAAGCCAAAGTTCATTGCCTCATGTGCACAGCACCTTTAGAATATCAAAGAATAACAAACTTTATTTAGAAAACAAACTTGGAGATATTTTTAATTAAGTTTTAGTCAAGGGATTAAGATCAACAAACTACTACAGTCAAAAAACTAAAACTATCTTTAAAATCATGTGACTTTTGTGTCAGGGGTCAATAGTGATTAGGAGGCTGTTAAGGGGGCTGCTTCTCAGATTCTGGTAGTGTCTTATTTCTTAACCCGAGTGGTGTTACACAGGTGTATTCATTTTGTGATCATTCATTACATTTATGGGGTGCCTGGGCAACTCAGTCAGCTGGGTGTCTGCTTTCAGCTCATGTTTTGATCCGGGGGTCCTGGGATCAAGCCCCATATCGGGCTCCCTGCTCAGCTCAAATAAGTAAATCTTTTTAAAAAGATTCATTGCATTTACAATTTTTATTTGTTCCCCTTTTCTGTATGTGTGCTGTACTTCAAATTTTTAAATAATAAATTTAAAATTGTTTCAGTTTAAAACAGATATGAAACAAGTTGTTTGCTACTAAATAATGTGGAACACAAGTCATGTCCGAGGCTGCTCACTCACTAAGCCCTCTCTAATTGAACAGGAGTGGACCCATCAAAAGCTCTTCCAGGAGCCAATGACTAATGGCAGTGCAAGTTATTTTGGATATAGAAATAAAAGAGTGAACAGTTTGTAGACTCTATTTAAAAATGAGAGTGAAAAACAATACAGATGGGGCCCAGGATGACAAACTAGTGACCCCTGAGTGCACACAGGACCTGAATTAGAGGTTGTGGAGAGAAAGGGACCGAACGCTCACGAGGTGGGAG